GTAGCCTATTAAAACCGTATCATGGTTTCTTACATAAATGTCATGTCTTTGTATCTCGAAGATACCGGAGGATATGTTAATCATTATTCAAGTACTTCATTTGTGGGGGGAGCACTAGATTTTGCTAGCAATTTCATCGCAAATATGTTGCGATTATAGAACTTCTGGTTCTATAATGGTACGGTGCTCCAACGATAATGAAGTAAGGGACTTCGAGTCCAAAAAGGTTCCTTATCTGCTTCAAGAGATTATTAGGCAACCTTTATTTTGATAAAAACATGACACTTATATGCATATAGATATGTGAAAAAACATTTTTAGATGTAGGCTGATTGGTGTATATATAAAAGAAACTTCAAAGAAAAACTCGATCTTCAAGTCGAGATAATACTTATAGCTTTCACAAGCTTTTTATTTCAAAAGTCTCAGTCTTTAAACATGAACTGACATTATCGAGTTCTTTATATATTTCATTGATGTTTACACCATCAATCTTGACTGAGATAATAAGTTCATTATCAACCCTTTATCGAGCACACAATGGTACATATTATTCCTTCAATGAGGATATTAACTCCATTCGCAACCCTTTAAAGAGTAAATAATGACACATAATAATACTTAAATAAATCCTTATTTCGAGAATTATGAATCCATCCAGGATTTCTCAAAATAAATTTAACTGCATATCTAAATTTGTTATTCTGCCAATTGTACTATGTAGCGGAACTTAATGCCATTTACCGTGGGAGAGTATACTTGATTAAAATCAATTAAGGGTCTCTGCGTGAACCCGTAGGCTACAAACTCGCTTCATCACCTCATTATTCTTATTTCTCTTTCATGCACACACCCATTTGTAACCTCCAGGGTTAATGCTCAAATGGTGTATTGTTATAAAGAGAATTATCCATTTTAGCAAGTTGAGCTATCCCTTAATTGCTCCTTTATATATTAAATAGTTATGGCACTTCTGGTGCCTAACTCTGGATCCAGATTATCATATAACGAGCAATTTGTAATGGCAATTGTGTTGTCGACAACTATAACCTTTTTTGTAAAACTCCCATATTTGTAAATGTAATGGCAATTTCTAAAACAACCAGATTCTAGACATTTCCCAAAGATATTTTGATCTGGTCGTTCCGCATCCCTAGTATTACGTTTGTTTGGTGCACCTATAAGTCTTACCAGGGTTTTTCGTCATCTGGACGAATGTCTTCAGGACATAATTATTCAAGCTATTTCAAGAGTGACAATATTTCTTTACTAGATCTAGTATTATGATCCATATCTCTTTCACCGATAGATCTCCTACACTTCTAGTGTCAAGGAGTATCGATAGATATGTTTGGTCCAAGGATATAGGACCTAGTCACTTCTTTTATGATCATTATGATCAATAGATGTATTTGGCAGATTATTTGCTAAAATCGCAAATAGATTATCTTTTGAACTTCCAGTTCAATCTAACTAGTACATGGATTTAAATAATGAAGATGTTTTTATTCTTATGAAATTTCTTGGCATTCCAAAAAGCTACGGAGTAGTATATTATCTCCCCCTAATGCCGAGAAACAATCTTCATTAGGAATGCAGTCAACATACCCAATTATATGTATTGATCCCCTATCATGGGCTTTCGGTATTTAATCAATAGACGGGGGTTTCTTTGATAGCCATTTTAGAGGTACGTTGTGGTGATGATATAAAATAGACTGCGCAAATAAAATAACGCAGATAGGGAAATGTTACTTCTGAAACCACGTACTAGGTGAAAAGGGGGGTATAGCAATCCTTTGAGGGATTGATTTGTGATATGCATTGAGTTAGACTTGGGTAAAAAGAACTTGACTCATAATAACGTTATAGCAATCCTTCAGGGATTGATGGGATAGGTGGACCATTTTTGGTCAAGAATTTATCGTCAAGGTTCATCCCTAAAGGGTGACTCATAGAATTAAAGTCCTTAATCTACCTTCTGGACAAATAAATATAGAAAAATGAGGGCTATAAACTTAAATATCATATGCCCAAATCTCATGTCAAAGAGTTTCTATAGCAGAAACTAGCACTGTAACATGTCATAGCCTTTAATTGTTATCATATGCAAGCTAAGGTTTAGCAACGATAGGTGCAACCTAACCATATTGAGAATTCATGCTATTTTCCCACTTATAAGTTGGGTGATAAATCTCAATAGCTATGGCCTATAGCAAATCATAAATTCCCAACAAGAGAAATAACAAAATCTCTTATATGGACATAATTAAGAGATTATATGCTAAATGATATCAATTAAAGAGAAGCACATGCAATATGTGATATGATCTTATGTCTTGGACACTAAAAACTCAATTTAGTCATGCACATCATATTTGGTACACACAAGGCATGACATGACAAGAGATATTCTTATTAATTCATAAATTAGAAAAAATGAGAGAAGTACCATTCGCCGAAGAATAATGAGCACATGTTTGCTGCCGGGCCCATTCATTCCTATTTTGGGGAATAAAAAACAGTACTTTTCCAAGCAAGCTCTCATTTTATCTCATAGTTTCATACAAGTATGAAAATATCACAAAACAACAAGATATACAAGCTGAAAATGGCAGAATTTTTCAGAATTTTGACCTGGATTGTTGAATTTTCTGGGACAAAACGGTAACACATTTTGACACAAAATTTTGCAGATATGTAGTTCAGCAAGTCTAGAACATACACGAAAATTTTCATGCCAATCCAAGGTCTAGAAGTATTTTTTCTAAAAAATTTCCCAACATTGCTCCAGCAGAAAAATAATTGACACCACAGTGCCAAAACTTTAATTTTTCTGGAATCACCAAAACATATTTTTAACAAAATCTTTTTACAGACATCAAATACCACGAGTCTAGGTTCTCCAGAAAAACAATTTCATGCCAAAAGGAGTTCAAGAAGTATTTTTCACGAATTTAATTTTCAAACTGTGCCGGTCAGAATTTTCAGGCAGTGATTACTATGTGAGAAAAAAAAAATCACAACTTGTTTGCTTCAGGCAAACCAACATGATGTAAGTCAATTTTGACTTTCGGAGAGTATCATAGCATTAGAAATAGAAGTTGCAAAACTTCATTCATAAGTCATTAGTCACTTTAAAGAACAATGCCATTTGAGGTCTTCCAGACCATATTAGAAAGTAGCCCAATAATGGTCAAATACATTATCAAGTAGGGAAGATTTAAAAACTCAAAGAGTATATTCCCCAAAAAAAATTAAGTTTTTGGTTTCTTATAAAAAACATTCAAAATACTTAGTATAATATTTTATGTATTGTAGTACAATATGACCATCATAGTTGACAATGAGACCCGCTTACACCAAATATCCTTCAGGGATTGACTTTTTAGATCAAATTTCTGTAATCGAGGGCTTGGGGCAAGATAACGAGATAAAATTAGTGCTCTTGATTTACTTTTTGGGCATTATATTAAAATGAGGCACTAATATTTAAATTCTCATTTTTGAGATTTATTTCAATGCCAAAGACTCATGTGAAATAAAAATTAGCACCATTAATTGACTTTTAAAACAATACAAAGTCAATTATTTACATTGAAGGAATTGTCGTGGTGCTTTTATCTTAAATTAATGCTATGAATTTGTCTTCTGGACAAAGATATGTTTAGAAGTTAAGTGGTTTAACAACGACAGGTGTAACCTAACAATTGAAGTCAAGTTGAGAATTCGGGTTATAAATGAATCTCAACAGTTATGACCTATTTCAAATAATCATTCATAGGGGTATAAAACCCTCATAGAAAAATAATCACATTTAAGGGCATATTAACCGGCGAGATGACCCGGCCCAAATCGGGAGATAATCCAAAGCATCACAATTGCCTTTGTATAAAACCAGAATAGGGAGAAAAAGAGAGAATCATTGCTTTTGGGTTTAATCATACTTGAACTATTATGATTGGAAACAGATGTCAAACTGATGCCATTCTCCCTACTAAATATCAGAAAAAAAAACTTGATTTTCATTTCTTCCTAGTATATGCAAAAAAGAATTCCTATTCCCAACGTTAGAAGGCCCAATAATGAAACCTCTATATGAATTCCACCTAACATTTGAAAAACAGAAGCCAGCTGCAAGCTCAAAGCTGGAAAGACAAATGATGAATAGAAACACTCAACTGAGCATCCTCTTTTTACTATGCAAAGCTGTAAATTTGTTAAACCTTGAAATGTGATCGCTAAGCAGAGAAGAGAGGAGACTATTTGGATGCAATAATGCTAATATCTCTTAGCCCATAGCAATAAGTCAAAAATGTATAAAGGAAAACCTTCCCTAAGCATGTCTTACAGTTGAAAATTTGAATAAAAACACCTTTATGAAAGTCCCGTTAAAGACACTTATTATGTTCAAAGTTACTAGATACTCTCTATATTCAGTATCACAGAATAATAGAATATAGCAAGATAGGGTATCTCATTAAACCATAGATTATAATATAAAAGAATACGATGAAAAAGTACCGTTCACCGAAGACACGGATAAAGCCGAGGAGACCGCCATTGAAGATGCGAGAACTCCATTCTGTAACTTGTGGAACCAGTCTCCACGGAATTCCCTTGAGGAGTACACATACATGGAATTTCCCATTAGCAATGGCATCACTGGCTAACTGGCTTTAAAGTTTTTCCATAATCAAATCTATACGGTAAAATATAAGAGGCTGATTCCCTTCAATTATCTAGGGAAGGGATTGATGCAGCAGTATCGCTATTGTCGTGGAGAACAATTTCCAACCGTCCGAAGTTCACTGTGACTTGTAACGACGGTGACTCCGCCACCATCCAAAGCAGCGATGGGAGCAGCCAAACTCCCCATCACCGGTACCAAATTAACCAGACCAGTCAACCATCGATGCCACCACTGAGACGAATTGAAGAACCATCGAGAATATCAGAAAGTGCGATTGGTGTTCGATCAAGGATTCAATCAATGAAAAATGGCGGTGAACTTTCCCCAACTCCATCTCCTATGCCCGACAGAAGATCGGCACTCTGGATCGCGATCATCAACTGGATCATCAGCCGTTGTTTGCGATTTCTCCAATCGCGACAGCCTCTACGCCGATTTCTTCTCCAATGATGGCAGCGGTTCCAGAGCAATCGGAGGTTGCTGCTGCCTTTCCATTTGTGTCCGGGACCTCATTGATGGCTGGCGATCATCGTCGATCCTCGTCGGATGTGCGATCGCAAATAGCGGAGGTTTCCGCAAAATCCTAGTTCTCTACCCCATCTTTGACGTAACTCAGCCAGAATACTCCGGACACGATTGAGATCGTTTTCCACCGTGGATAGAGGCGGTGGACCACAATCCATGATCGCCTCAACGAGGCGGACCTTTTGAACGATTCGGATCGTTGGAAAACTAACCGCCAGTGCCGGAAAATCGAAAAAGGGTGTTCGGCTGAAGTTAACCATTCATTCGCGGCGGGCAATCTCTAAACACTGTTTCGTTCCCATGATGGGAGATGTAGAGCAAGGGCTGATAACGTGTTAAAAGGAAAAATAGAATAGTGAATAGAGAGATGAGGGAGAAAGGATGATCTTTCATTCATCCGTGTGTTCATCATCTGCGCTATTATACATGAAATACACTTCCATATATAACTAATACAAAAGGACATAAATAAACATAATGAGCCATAAAATCATCCGTTATGTCCGTTACAAATAAATGTCCATTGAATATATTTATAACAGATTAAACCCCATATGATGCTATAATGTTAGACAAAGCTTTGATTGCATTATCCCAATTCAAAGCATAAACACACATAATAAACAAATCAGCAGAAGCTGCAGAGATTCCACTCAATAACTTTGTTAGCCTCAAAAGTTGCAGAGATTCCCAAACTGTACGTACAAGAATTCAACTTACTTGATAACTCATCTGCTTCATCTTCAGATAGAAGCGCCACGAATGCATTAAACACTATTGTGTAGCTACAACATGAGATTCTATTGCCTCAAGGCAGTTGTTTCAAAAGCAATATAGATTAATTAAAGAAACATGCTTGCAGACATTTTCATTAACCAAATAAAGAAAGGGAATGGATAAATTTAACAGACCTTCCCTTCAAAGATGACAGGAAATCAATATGATTCTAGAATGCAGTTTCTTCGTCAACGCGATGGGGAGTGAGGGCGATAGGAGAATCGGCGACAGAGAGGGCGTGCATGAAGAATTACGTTGCTGATGCAGTTCTTGATACGCTGAAGATTACATGCATACGGAAGACTAAAATATCTCTATTCAAATTGGTAATAAATTAATTACAATGCGAAATTACTACACAGCCCCTACACATTACACAACAGTGTAAACGATGAGAACTTATTGTATTGTATTTACTGAACTTAATTACAATGAGATCAGATGATGTGAATATATACATTAGAGAGTCACAATGTGACAGGGATAAGAAGTTCTAAACAGACTCAGATACATAGAGTCCTAATACTCCCCCTCAAGCACAACGTATACTAGTAACCTGTAGCTTGTCCCTTAGGGAAGAAAATCTAGGTCCAGGCAGAGCTTTGGTGAAGATATCAGCAAGTTGATCTTTCGTGGAGATGAAGTTGACTTGGATATCGCCCGAAGCTACTCGATCACGAACAAAATGATAATCAATCTCCACATGCTTGGTGCGTGCATGAAAGATTGGGTTGACACTCATATATGTAGCTCATAGATTATCATACTATAATTTTGGAATGGAAATGCCCGGAATCTGTATCTCACGCAGTAATGACATAATCCATAGAACCTCAGCACAAACATCTGCAAGAGCTTTGTATTCAGCCTCAGTGGATGACCTGGCAATAGTTCTCTGTTTCTTGCAAACTCAGGATATAAGATTACTCCCCAAGAAAATAGCGAAACCACTCGTGGATTTTCGATTTTCAGAACAACCAGCCCAATCAGAATCAGAGAATGCATGAATGTATCTTGATGAGCACCGTCGTATGCGTAAACCACGATCAACTGTTCCCTTGACATACCTGAGGACCCGTTTGAGCTGCTCCCAGTGTGACATGGTGGGAGCATGCATGTGCTGGCATAACTAATTAACTGCAAATGATAGGTCAGGTCGTGTGACAGTGAGATATTGCAGTGCTCCAACTAAACTCATGTACTGTGTGGGATCATCATATAGATCTGCATTAAACGGGACAGTTTTCGAGACAGATATGGGTGTAGAAAGGGGTTTGCATTCAGACATTCCAGCCCGTTTTAAAATGTCATTCATATACCGTTGTTGAGATAAAATAATCTCATTGTCACTCTTGACTGTTTCAATACCCAAAAATAAATTTGGTTCACCAAGATCTCTGATTTTGAATGTAGCAGACAGTTTGGACAAGAGCTGAGACATAATACCCTTATCACTTCCCATTACAAGAATATCATCCACGTACACCAATAGATAAATCAAAGTAGAGTCTTTAGAGTAATAGAACAGAGAGACATCTATCTTGGATGCTTGAAAGCCCACTGATAGTAAGAACGTATGTAGCCGATTAAACCAAGCTCTAGAAGCTTGTTTTAACACATACAGAGATCTTTTTAACAAACAAACGTGATTCGGGAAGTTAGCATCAATATAACCAAAGGGTTGCTTCATATAAACTGTTTCAGCCAGTTTGCAACACCTAATATGAATGTAATTGGCTGCAAATGGGTTTACTGCACCAAGCGCAAAGCAGATGGTTCAATTGAACGCCACAAGGCCCGCCTAGTTGCAAAGGGGGTTTAACCAGGTTGCCGGGGAGGACTTTTTCTACACTTTCAGCCCCGTTGTCAAGCCGACTACAGTTCGAATCCTATTTTCTCTTGCAGTATCCAAACAGTGGGCTCTATGCCAGCTAGATGTTAACAATGCATTTCTCAATGGGCACTTGTCTGAAACAGTTTATATGAAACAACCACCTGGGTACGAAGATCCAACCCGCCCAGATCATGTCTGTCACCTACAACGGTCGCTCTACAGGCTCAAACAAGCACCCAGGGCTTGGTTCAAACGGCTGCATGAGTTCTTACTATCAGCTGGGTTCGTTGCCTCGAAAACGGATGTCTCACTTTTTCACTACACTATTGGGAACTCCCATGTATTTCTCCTGGTCTACGTCGACGACATCCTTATGATGGGCAATGACTCGTCTTTGGTAACCACGCTGCTACACAAGCTATATACCACATTCAAGATTTGGGATCTTGGCACACCAAGTTTTTTCCTGGGTATTGAAACGCTGCACACTGGTAGTGGTCTTGTTCTATCTCAACAGCGGTATATGAAAGATATCTTAACCCGAGCAGGTATGTCTGACTGCAAACCACTGGCAACCCCGGCTGCGGTGACTCAGCCTGCTACACCATCCATGGATCCTATGGACAATCCGACACAGTATCGTCGCATCGTTGGGGCTCTTCAGTACTTGACTATCACTCGGCTTGATATGTCGTATGCTGTAAACAGGTTCATGCACTCTCCGACCGAAGAGCATTGGTGCATCCTCAAGCAGGTGTTGCGGTACATAAAGGGCACACAGGACTATGGGTTACGCCTGACAGCCTCGGCCTCCTCCGACATCCATGCCTTTTCCGATTCCGACTGGGCTGGTTGCCCTATTGACAGGAAGTCAACTAGTGGTTACGCAGTGTTTCTGGGAACCAACCTTGTATCCTGGTTATCCCGCAAGCAGCGTACAGTGGCTCACTCTTCGATTGAGGCAGAGTACAAGGGTCTTGCCGATGTTTCTGCAGAGGTTACTTGGGTTGTATCATTGCTTCGGGAACTTGGTCTACACTCTGGTTTGACAACCTCGGGGCTACTTATTTAGCTGCTAATCCGGTTTTCCAAGCTCGCACTAAACATGTTGAAATCGACTATCCCTTCTGTAACACCCCACTTTTCTAACTCTTAATTATAACTCTAAACAGTCATTAACATCACTAAGCAGCGGAAATAACTAATAAATAAATAGTGGGAGTGTCACCGCCACAACCACCACTCCGTGGTGATTGCACAGGCAAAGGGGTAAAACTAGAAATAAAGTAAAAGCCTGGCATCCATCATAAAAATTGAAAACATAAGGGGGAAATAACGTCACCCCGATAGTCTACAACATCCTCAAAACCATAAAGTTAATAAATCTAAATCCATAACATAAACATCAATCAAACTAGAGTTTAGATATCTCTAACTACGAGACTAATCTAACTCGACTTCTTCACACTGCTGGGTCCACCTGAAAGAGGTTTTGCAAGAAACACATAGACAAATATGAAAACACCCGTTAGCACGAAGCTAAGTATAACTACACTCAACCCTGTAAAGTACTATAGAGTATACTTTGAAAACATTTGATTTCTTTTGTAAACAATAAACTCATCTCAAATCATCTTTAGATCTATTACGTACTTTCTAGATGCTTGCAACATATAATATCAACTGGCATGCATATATATAAGGCTAAACACTTAGATACTTTAACATATAAACACTTCAATTAACTTAAAAAACAACTCATACTTGTAGGTAGGATCATACTGATAAACCATATAACAAATATTCTCATGTTCTCACACTCTCATCACATAAGCTTGATATACAAGGCTTCAAATATAACAAAAATAATCATGCTCGATGGACAACCTTAAATCAACATTCTCATTATGAAATCTCATGCGATACTGTATTCAAATGCAATCTTATGCGACACTATACATCATACTCATATGCAATCTCGTGCAATACTACAATCATACTCATATGCAATCTTGTGCAATACTATAGGCATACTTATATGCAATCTCATGCAACAATATACTCATACTTATATGCAATCTCGTGCCATAATATATATATATATATATATATATATATATATATATATATATATATATATATATATATATATATATATATATATATATATATATATATATATATATATATATATATATATATACACTCATGTACACTCGTCGTAAAAATAGAGTACTTTCTGTGGAGGTCTATTGAGTCTCTCTTGACTCGCTTTCCTTCTCTTGAGTCTCTCTTCACTCGCTTTCTTTCTCTTGAGCCTCTCTTGACTCGCTTTCTTTCTCTTGAGTCTCTATTGACTCGATTTCTTTCTCTTTTCGCTCGTAGACGGCTCAGGGTTTCACTGTAGCGGGAATTGCCCCATCGGGAACAGCGTAAGTCCGACTCAATATCTCCTACCGTCTACCGAACCAATCTCGTGGTTCACACGCTGTGGAATCAGGTATCGAACTTTCAGTGTGCACACCCCCTACCAGGATTCCAAGCTTGGCGGGTAGTTTTGAACCTCGTAACGTGGGAATACGCCGCGTTACATGTACTGGGACCGCAATGTCCATAACAATCATCTGAGAGGACATAGTCCAAGCGAGTCCTCCAAAACCTCACCGATATAGATAATACATAACTATATCTCTCATTCATCAATCTTATGCATGCAACAACTTTACTACTTCTCAAATGCATCAAAGAATGCTATACACATGGTCATGGTCTTTGAAAATAATACTCGGGCTCACGTTGGCCCCTTATGCATTTTTGAAATATGACATATGTGAAATGCCATAATGCTCTATAACATGCTTCTAAATCATGTATAAAAATATCATGAAGTACTCAAAATATAATGCCATTCTCGATTTGCAAACAGGCAACTTCTATACATTTCACTTCAACAAATAGACTTCTATTCTCTTGGATCAAATAATACAATTTAATCACGCTATAAAAGTGAATCACATTCTCAAATGATCATGCTTCTATACTTAAATAAAATCATCAAACAGTACACAAAGATAACAATTCCTCATATACAGTGCATAGCAAAATATATACTCTGTGTAGTATTTCATCACAATTTCCTTCATAACATACTCATTTTAAATCCAAATTCAACAAAATCAAAGCCAAAACGTGCGTCGAGACGGTACCGAAGAGCCGATCCACAAGGGACCGTAACACACGGCCCGAAACGGCACGTAGCTGAGCCACAAGGGCCCGGCCACTGCACAAATTCTTCTCAGAATCAAAGTCAAAGACCTGGGGCGGGACTCCTCATGGTCCGCCCCTTATATCCCGTCACTTCACCGGGACTAGGCGGCGGCCCTCCTCTAGGGCCGTACCCTAGTCCCGTGCAAGCACGGCTCTAGCCGGCGGCACTCCTGATAGGTCGTGGCTAGGGCCGTGACTCTGATCTGGTGCACACTATGTTGTGCACCAGAAGGTTTTTCATCTGCAAAATCCAATCCAAACAAGTCCAAAACAATATCAACAACTCACAAACAAATACTAAATCACTTCTAAGCATAAACACAACAAAATCTCATAGTTTCTACTCATTTCTACTTAAAGCTAAGGCTTCACAGAGCCAAATTTTAAAGAGGAATCCATGGGGTTATACCTCTTGTAGACCTTCTTCTAGCTTGGATCTCTTCTTCTTCTCTATCTAGCTTGTGCCTCCTTCACCACCTATACATCCCAAACACCCTACAACCTTAGCCTAGAACCTCAAAGATTATAAGAAACTAGAAGAGAAATGAAGGCTAGGTTTGAAGAGGGAAAAGAGCTTACTATGATGTTGTTTTCTCCCTTTCTCTTGGCAGACAATTTGTGTGGAGAGGCAAAGAAAGAGATCATGGAATCAAGATGGAATAATGGAGTTTATATAGGGTTCAAAACCCTAGGTAGAAGGCCATGATTGGTTGAGGGCAAAATGGTAATTTGGAGTGGTTTTAGCAAAGATCAGACAAGGATAAAGTTCTTTGTGGTCCACCTTGCAACATGAATCATAGACTAGAAATGCTATTTTAAATATTTTGGGGTTGAAAATGAATTTTCTCAAAAAGCTATTTAGATGAATCCTTGTTTAAAATCTTTTTGGACACTCCCGGTCTCACTCAAATAAATTTCTCGATTAAAATCTTGGTACGCGAAGTACCCGAAAATTTAGGAATTTTCGAAATAGAATCAGTTTTGGTGTCGAATTAATTTAAAATGTAACGAAAATATTTTATTCAAACACCAATTGATCGCAAAAAATTTTTAATGGAGTGAAAAAGGCTATTTTGGGATTTCTAAATATCGGATTTATAAAATGAAATTTTGGGTTGTTACACTCTATCCCCCTTAAAAAAAGTTTCGTCCCGAAACTTATAAAAAACGGGTGAATCAAGTTCTCAAAAAGAAAGGGTGATATAATCAAAAGGTTGAAATTTTCTGTTGGAACACTTGGGAAAGATTTAGGAATCTTTGAGTTCTTATCTAGTTCTACAAACCTCTAAACAACTACTCAAACAAAACTACTAACTGAACTCAAAAGCTTAACTAGTTACCTTGATCAAAACCTCCTGATGAAACACCTGGTGGCATGTAGCTCGGTTCCCAACCATAGGGAGTCCATCTTTGCACATTCTCGATCCCCATCCTTCGCTCTATGACCGATGCCCGTTGGTCAAAGTTGGAAAACCCGTAGCTCACTCGGGCACTCAAATTGTCAAAACGGTTGTTGATCATAGCATATAAATCCTCATAAGTAGGTCCTTGAGGCCCACTCATGTAACCCTGTGATACTCTCGGCTGAGTAGCCGTAACTGGTGCTCCCTCATGACTCATACCAACTCCTAGATCAGTTCCCATTGCAACCCCTTCTCTACTAGCCTCAGCTATGTGTCCGGCTTCAATTCCAACATTCGACCACTTCCTTTGGGGTATAGTCAAACTAATCACCAAAGTAGTTCTCTCATCCAAGGGCTTCTTAGCAATGTTAGCTAGGGACAGATACTTGTTCTCAACAACCTAATACAGTTCATAATATTTCAGATTTGCGGCATTCAAAGCCGACCTAGTGGTTCTTTGGATTCTGTGACACCCCAAAATCCAAATTCAGTTAATGGGTTAATTGAGTAATTAATCCTATTTCAATTGAGGAATTAATTCCTAAAATCCTGAAATTTAATACTTGAGGACTAGTATTTGACTAGTCAATTCCAAAGTCAAAGTTGTACCTTGAGCTTTGAAGGGAGTTCCCTTGTTCCTTACATTTCCTAATGTTAGTAAGGGCATTCTTGACCTTTCACCTAGTGTTAGTATTGTAACCTAACCTAGTAGACATCTTCATTCTATCCCTTACACTTTCTAAAAATTAAGCTCTACCTTCTCTCTAAAAAGGTGAGTAGCTTTTCTTCCAAGCCAAGTTGAGACCTTGCCAAGACTTCAAGAATTTCTTCCAAGATTCAACCTTTCTTATATTTGGGCATCTAGGAGGGTAAGATCTAAGTCCATCTTGTGTTTTTGGTTCCATCTTAGGTGTCTTTTCTTAAAAGTAGGATCTTTATGATCTTTTTGGTTTGTGTTTGAAGTGGGTTTGGAAGGTGAGCCTTGAGAAGAGCTTGTTAAGGTGTAAAGTGAAGTCTTTTAGTCTACAAGAGGTAACCCATGCTCTACAAAACCTATTTTGCTTACCTATATGTGATTTCTTGGATTCTACATGTGTTTTGCTATGAAATGTGAGTGTTGATGCATGATCTTGTGAAAATGCATATCTAGAGCTTGTGTTTAGGGTTCATTTGTGCCATTGCTTGGCATTTCCTATGATTCAAGTCATTTTGTTGTATTGGGTGAGATTTGACATGTTTTGGACTTGAATTTGTGTTTGGAGATGAATTTCGCGAAGTGTGATGTTGTGGTACAGGTTATACCTGCGGGCGGAACGACGGGTAGGAGGCCCACCCGCGGGGTACACAAGGTGGGAGGCCTGTACCCGCGGGCGGAACCGCGGGTAGGGGCCTACCCGCGGGTACGTATTGTGGTGATGGCGGGGATTTGTTCCCCGTGATTCTTTTGACTCGGTATTTGGTCTTTGGACTTCCCGATATTCTTTTGTGGAACTATTTGAGTGTCTTCTTGATGTTTCGTATGTCTACAACTATGTGGTAGGTATCCATGTAGGTCTTTGGTGTCTTGAATCGTGCTAAGTGTTTAACATTGTGTTTCGTTGAACCGTGATGTGTCTTGTGTGTTCCTCGGAACTACCTTTGGTTTATTCGTTTGATAAGCATGCTAGTTTGGTGTCTAAATGCTAGCGTGTGTGTGTTATTTGTACCTTCCGATGGGTTGATGATAACTTGTGTTATTCATCGTTGTGTTGTTAGGCTGTGACCCATTCCTTGATTGGGTATGTTTCATACCTTTGTTGTGATCCGTTGATTGATTCCTGTTGAGGTGTGATGTGTGTGTGGCTTTACCTGGATTGCACGATTAGTGGTATGGGACACTAGTCACCAAGGTATTGCAGCGGTCCTCGTGGTGGCCGTGATGTGATTATGGAGTTGTGACCTGTGTGTCAGGTTCACGTATTTTCTTGGGAAGGCGTGTGTCGCCGTGTGTGTGTGTACGGTACCTTGTGTACTATGAAATTGGTGGATTTGTTGGTGGTTTGTTGGTGCAGGACGACGGTCCCAGGAATGAAAAGGTTGGACTAAGAAGTACAGGGGTCCTGGAGGTAATGGTTGGAAGAAGATACAAGGTTGGGGGTAGCCATAAGGTTGGAACCGGGTATAAGGCAGGCATATCAACTCGTGATGGGTGATGTCACGAGGACTATTGTAGCCACTGTGGTGAGTTCTTCTCTTGTGACGTGTGTAGTCACAAAGGCATGTGTTGCCGGTTGTGTGAGACTTATTTCCTTGGCGTTGTGCTTGTCGGGTTTTGATCTATTGAGTGATGATAGACCATGCCTTGACTCTTTTATGAGTCGTGTTGCTCTTGTGGTCTTGGGATGTGTTCCCGTGTGTGGTTGTTGAGAGTGTTGAGTCTTGCGTTGGCTTTTACTCTTGGTTTTACATTTATATATATGTATTCCGTTTCAAAAATGGTTTTACAACTTATACCTTACTTATGTATGTTATTTCACATGTATTGGTGGGTTACCAGCATTATTCGCTGATCGGGCGTCGTCCCATGTTTATTTGTGATCTTTCAGGTGATGTCTAGACGAGAGCGCAATCTAGTACCCGATAGCATAGCTCCTTCCGTTTGTTTTATGGCCTGTGTGCCTATCTAGTTGTAGACTTGTGAGATTTGGGATAGTTGTATACCATGCAGATTTGGCCGTAGCGTTCATCTTTGTTGATGGACGTGGCATAACACCCCATGACTTGGATTTATGTTTATCCAGTTATCTTTTAATCTTCCGCCATGCTAGTTGTTTAGTTGTGTTATCTACATGTGTTAAGGCTTTTTATAGCAAGTGTTTTGGGGGGGTGTTACAGTTTCTTTCTCCCAACTCAGGTAAATTCATCTTTTTGAAAACCCAACTTAACATCATGCCATAGGGCAGATTCTTCCTATTCTTTGCCTTAAAGTAAGCCATGTGCTTAAGGATCAAAACTAGAAAATTAATAGCATGACCAAATCTCAACATAAAGGCAATGGTACACATCCAACTACCAATCTCTGTAGAGTTGTTCCTACACGGAAACAAACACTCTTCTATCAACAGAACTAACAATTTCTTCTCTCCAGTCAAGGTAGGTCTCTCGGGACGATATTCCTTAGGGAATTCTTCCATACTCCCGGTCATGTATCTCAAATACTCTTGATGTGTCAACCACGCGTGGGCAACCCAATCATCCCTGTCATACATATCCAATCCATCTAACGGCAAGTCAAACCAATTTGACAATTTTTGTGGTGTCAATTCTACTTTCATACCTCTCACGTTAGAGACAATCGAAGTCACTCCCTTATGTTTCATGGACAAATTCTCATAAAATTCAATCACTAAATCAGGATAAATTTCTTCTTGAATTCTTAGGAATTTCCTCAACAAACCTTGATTTTCCTATATGCCATTAAAATCTTCATAAAAGAATTCGGGAAAATAGGTTTTACCTCCTATTACTGAGTAGGTAGGTGTTTCCTGACTTGTTCCTTCTACTTGTTGTTTTCCCTTCACCATTTTGTTCAAAATTGTTGTCTTGATCTCGTTAAAATAGCAGTGGATGATCCAACTAGCATTTTTCTCGTACTCAAAATGACTTGGGGAAGACACTATTGAAGTTTTCTTGATGAAAGATGTTGATTTGGAAGAGATAGATTTTTGGTTGACGTTGAGGCAGTGTGTAGCGATGAAGAGAAGAAAAAGATGATGTGAATTTGGTCTCTGCCTTGGAAGAATCAGCACAAGGGTTTTAGGGGGGTGGGGCTTGGCAGCGGCCCTCCCAATGGGTCGTGCCATGGTCCGTTATCAGCGTAGCTGACACGGCCCCCAGGTCACGTACCCTTACGTGGTCCGTGACCACTTTCCATCTCATGGAACGGAATCCGTTCCGACCCGTGGCCTAGACCCGCCACTGGGTCGGGTAACCGGGTCGGATCCGGTTCGACCCCAAATTGAAATCGGTCCTCCAACTTTGTCAAATCTTCAAATCGGGTCAAAATTGAACGTAATCCTCAACTTTAATAAATCCCGATTTCGTTGTCAATCCTTTGACTTTCAAATTCCTTCCAGGAATTGCTTAAATTCTTATCCACTTTCTTTCCCCGTCATTTCCTTCTTTTCTCGTTTTCACTTCTAGTTCGGTAAACATTTCTCTTATTTAAACCTCAATCGTTTCCTAACGATTTCTCATTCTTACTCATATCTACTTTCATTCTTCTAATTCTCTTGTTCGTTAATTCATAGCATTCAAATCTAAGCTTTTCCCCAAAACTAACTCATTTAACTTCTAAATTCCCAAAATTCCTAGATTGACACATCTTTTAACATCTTGCAACAACTTGTAACAACTTCTCAAGCATGCACATATAATTAAGCATTCAAGCAAAATCAACACACTCATTCCAAGTTAGATTGTTACCTTTCTCGAGATTGCGATCTCCGGCCTGAGTCTGTCCCATGACCATAATCCTTCCTGGTCCAGCTCCTCCGGTACGTCCTTGCTGCGCTTCGCCCCGTCCGTGATTCCCATTTATGTGCGGGCCTCCTCTCGGTGGATAGCCATGTCCCATAGCTTGATTTGGCGCCTGGTTGATCGGACATCTGGGTGGCTGGCTCGGGATCGTACCATGGTATCCCTCCATCCTTGGGGAACGACAAATAGCGGCTCTATGACCCGGCTTCCTACACCGAAAGTAAACTATAGGCGATCCTCCACAAGTGGTCTTAGGATTATCCTTGCCACATCTCAGACATACCGAAGTCCCCTCTCTTGGTGGTCCTCCAGATCCAACTCCCTATCTCATAGTCATGTTTCTCCTTTCCCCGCCTCGATTGTCAAACCTGCTCATCGGATTGAACCTGTTCCCCTTGTTCGACTGCGAATCCACACCCTCATTCCTTTTCTTCATTCCCTGTGTGGCATCTCGCTGCAACGGTTGGAGCCTAGAGTACCCAGCAGCTGCATCGTAGGCTTCAGTCAAAGTAGCAAATCTCACCGTTGAGAAAGACTTCTGAGCATCATAATGCAAACCCCGGATAAACTTGCGAGCCCTACTCGCCTCATCAGGTGCCAAGGTAGGAGCGAATCGAGCTAGTGCCACAAAGCGGGCATGATACTCCGGAACAGTCGAGCTTCCCTGCTCGAGATGTACGAACTCCTCATACTTAGCAGCCTTGACATGCTCCGGGTAGAACCTCTCCCTCAATACCATCTTGAACATCTCCCAGTCAAACCCTTCTCTTGCCCGAACAGTCGGTCCCTCCATGATCCACCAGTGATCGGCCTCTCCCTGTAGATAGTACACAGTAACCTCTACTCGCTGATTCTCTAGGCATCCTACCACATCAAACAGCTTATCAAACATGCGGATCCAACTCTCGAGAACTTCCGGGTCCTCCTGACCCAAGTAACACGGTGGATTACGTCCCGTGATCTTCCTAGACACATCACAACCACTGTTATTCCCATTGAGTACGGCAGCTCCTATGGTCTGAGTCAACTGGGTGAGCTGGCGCAGGCTCTCAGTCAAATTTGTAGATGACAACGCTCCAGGTCCTGAGGAGCGAGGAGATTCCTCTCTGACTCTTCGCGGCGGCATCGCGAAACCCTTCGTACGTGACCAGAACAGATCATTCTTGTTAGCATGACTAGTAAGTTAACTGATTCTAGCTTCTCGATTCTTAAGACAAACTTGCAACAAGAAAATCACGCAAAGCAACAAAGGCATCTCTTCTCATCTACTTTAACAACTTATCAAGAACAAATTCTCTTCTAAACTTTAACTCTCAAACTCTTGGTTTTTCTCTTTCAACTTCTCTCTTGACTTCTCTACTTTACTCGAAACAGATAACAAGGCATAACAAGCACATTGATAAATCACATAAGCAAGGCACAAGTATAAACTCTTATACTTTTACTTTAGCACTTTTACAAAGCTTCCACTTTCAAACTTTAACTTTCAAATATCTCAACTTTTAACTTTCACTTTAACTTTTCACTGAAAACTTCTCTGCTTCACTTTCAAAAGATATATAAAAGCACTTTAACACATTGATAAAGCACAAAACATATAAGCAAACACAAATGAACTCACGACCTCACCGTGTTCCTAACTGATACTTAGAGTTTCTCTTAACTCTGATTCTCATACTTAATCACTGGACTTAGAGTCTTTCTTATCTAAATCTTCATAACTTAGGGTTCTTTCCCTAATCTTATCCTTCTTAGGATTTCCACTTAAAGTTCCCTTCTTATCTTGTGTTTCTTAAGACTTCAACTTAGAGGTCTTTCTTTAACTCATCCTTCCTAGGACTTTTACTTAGAGTTTTTATACTCAATCTTAAGGGTCAACTTCCTAAGTCTCCCGCGGTTCGTACTGCTCTGATACCAATTTGTAACACCCCACTTTTCTAACTCTTAATTATAACTCTAAACAGTCATTAACATCACTAAGCAGCGGAAATAATTAATAAATAAATAGTGGGAGTGTCACCGCCACAACCACCACTCCGTGGTGATTGCACAGGCAAAGGGGTAAAACTAGAAATAAAGTAAAAGTCTGGCATCCATCATAAAAACTGAAAACATAAGGGGGAAATAACGTCACCCCGAAAGTCTACAACATCCTCAAAACCATAAAGTTAATAAGTCTAAATCCATAACTTAAACTTCAATCAAACTAGAGTTTAGATATCTCTATCTACGAGACTAATCTAACTCGACTTCTTCACACTGCTGGGTCCACCTGAAAGGGGTTTTGCAAGCAACACATATACAAATAGGAAAACACTCGTTAGAACGAAGCTAAGTATAACCACACTCAACCCTGTAAAGTACTATAGAGTATACTTTGAAAACATTTGATTTCTTTTGTAAACAATAAACTCATCTCAAATCATCTTTAGATCTATTACATACTTTCTAGATGCTTGCAACCTATAATATCAACAGGCATGCATATATATAAGGCTAAACACTTAGATACTTTAACATATAAACACTTCAATTAACTTAACAAACAACTCATACTTGTAGGTAGGATCATACTGATAAACCATATAACAAATATTCTCATGTTCTCACATTCTCATCACATAAGCTTGATATACAAGGCTTCAAATATAACAAAAATAACAAGGCTTCAAATATAACAAAAATAATCATGCTCGATGGACAGGGGCGGATGCAAGTGTGGGTTAAGGGGGGGCAAGCCTTGCCCCCCCCCCCCCCCCACCCCACCCCACTCCCCTCCCAACACATTAACGGATATATGCTCACACGCCCCCTCACGTGTACGGTGGATTCCAACCAACACGTGGATCGATAAACCGTAATCGCTTACGAGTAGCGTTGAGATTCGAACCCATGACCTTTGGTCTGGCTCTGATACCAAATTGAAGCATGTGCTCCATCTCAACTAAAAGCTTAAGCTGATAGTTGGATACACATTAACGGATATATGCTCACAACTCACATTCAAATTAAACCTCATTTAACTTACCTACTAGTTTCTCTCTCTAGAACCATACATATATGCGGCATATATACTATAACAAGATAATTTGTTATTAAAATCTATGCATATTTTTCAAGTTATTATTATTATTATTATTATTATTATTATTATTATTATTATTATTATTATTATTATTATTATTATTATTATTATTATTTTGTTTTTAACTACTTGTTTGGTTAATTTTTGTTTCATATTCTATTGTTTATTTTAAATAGTTGTTTTGTTTGATTCTAAATAATGGATGTCAGGGTGAATATGTTTGGTTAATTATGCAAATTTGTAGTTATGTGATAAATTTTGTATTTAATTTAACATTTATTATAATGTAAAAATTGAATAGTATATGTATTTGAGAAAATAATTTGCTATTATGTTATGTTGTGAGTAGGGTAATTTTCAAGAAATAATCAATAGTCTTTTAAAACATTCCCGAATGTTTTCATTATTTCAACCATACAAAGTAATGTACATTGAAAAACATATTACAAAATAATTTAATATAGATTCAATTATAAATGATTTATTCTAAACTTTATTTAATTTGTAATGTAATGATTATTTTGAAATATGTTAACTGGGTATCAATATATTTAATTTAGTACTTTAACTATAATAGTTGGCCCCCGCACTGTTCAATCCTGGCTCCGCCCCTGTCGATGGACAATCTTAAATCAACATTCTCATTATGAAATCTCATGCGATACTCTATTCAAATGCAATCTTGTGCGACACTATAAATCATACTCATATGCAATCTCGTGCAATACTATAATCATACTCATATGCAATCTCGTGCAATACTATAGTCATACTTATAAGCAATCTCATGCAACAATATAATCATACTTATATGCAATCTCGTGCCATAATATATATATATATATATATATATATATATATATATATATATACTCATGTACACTCGTCGTAAAAATAGAGTACTTTCTGTGGAGGTCTATTGAGTCTCTCTTGACTCGCTTTCTTTCTCTTGAGTCTCTCTTCACTCGCTTTCTTTCTCTTGATTCTCTCTTCACTCGCTTTCTTTCTCTTGAGTCTCTATTGACTCGATTTCTTTCTCTTTTCACTCGTAGACGGCTCAGGATTTCACCGTAGCGTGAATTGCCCCATCGGGAACAGCGTAAGTCCGACTCAATATCTCCTACCATCTACCGAACCAATCTCGTGGTTCACGCGCTGTGGAATCAGGTATCGAACTTTCAGTGTGCACACCCCCTACCAGGATTCCAAGCTTGGCGGGTAGTTTTGAACCTCGTAACGTGGGAATACGCCGCGTTACATGTACTGGGACCGCAATGTCCATAACAATCATCTGAGAGGACATAGTCCAAACGAGTCCTCCAAAACCTCACCGATATAGATAATACATAACTATATCTCTCATGCATCAATCTTATGCATGCAACAACTTTACTACTTCTCAAATGCATCAAAGAATGCTATACACATGCTCATGGTCTTTGAAAATAATACTCGGGCTCACGTTGGCCCCTTATGCATTTTTGAAATATGACATATGTGAAATGCCAAAATGCTCTATAACATGCTTCTAAATCATGTATAAAAATATCATGAAGTATTCAAAATATAATGTCATGCTCGATTTGCATATAGGCAACTTCTATACATTTCACTTCAACAAATAGACTTCTATTCTCTTGGATCAAATAATACAATTTAATCATGATATAAAAGTGAATTACATTCTCAAATGATCATGCTTCTATACATTATTCACAATATATATATATATATATATATATATATATATATATATATATATATATATATATACACCTTTAACATGTAGGTCGGTAGGGAATTTTTAATATGAAATATTTCCAAAAATTTAGTTACGTTATTCACAAAATCAATTCAAAGCATGTGACGAACACATTTTTTTTTTTTTATAAATTTCGTATTTCTCAAACACTTCGAATTATTATGGAATTAACACTTTTAAAACTGTTAATTTAATACCTTAACTATTTAATTTTTATCAATTTTGGGAACGCTGGTCAAATGTGACCGAAAATTTTTAACTCACCAATTAATCTTAAATGATAAGGGCAAAAGCGTCTTTTACCCTAGTCTCCTTCACCTACCTCCCTCGTCTTCAGCACGTCCACCAGATTCGATGCCACCGCCGCCACGAACCCGGCAGTGAAGCTCACCGTCACTTGGGTCCCGAGCCCGTCCTTCATGATTCCTTTTTCCAGGATCGTTTCCTTGAACTGGTCGTAAGATGTCAAATGGTTGGCCATGACTAGCATGGCCCGATTGACGGTGATAGAGGAGTCGCGCCATAGGCTGGTACGGTGACGCTCTCGTTCTTGGTCATTTGGGTTATGGCGTCCACGACGCTCTTGTAGTTGCGCCGCTGGGCGGGTGGGAGACGGTCGTCGGCTTGCATCCGGACGTGTTTCACTCGTCGGAGGTGTTCAGATCGGACCATACATTAAAGACGCTTTTACCCCTTCCATTTAAGATTAATTGGTGAGTTAAAATTTTTCGGTCGCATTTGACCGGCGTGACCAAAATTGATAAAATAAAATTGAATAGTTAAGGTACTAAATTAACAGTTTTGAAAGTCGTGGATTGCAATTAACAATACCAAAATAGTCAGTGGACCAAAATTGAAATTTACTCGCACACAAATTAAAATCTATATGCTACACCATTCAAACTCTTTAAAAAGTTGAATTGTAGTTATATTAGTGCATGCAAACATGCAAACATTTCCAACGTGGGTCAAAAACTACTTAAAAGACTTCCCAAATTTCTTTTTTCCCTACTCAATGGATACATTTCGAATATTAATAAGTTCTGATCTTATTCACTTATTATTCATTTTAAGCGTGTAATATATCAAATTTATCATTTTAACTTAGAATAATCTGAATCTAGTGATCCAAATTGAAAGTGAAGTTCACTCAAATTAATACCTCAAAATGATGGATGTGAATTTATACTTAATTTTCTAACAAAACAAATTAAATTCATATGGGTGTCGAAATATATAGGCTGGTGGTATGGTGATGTGGCATGTGACAAAATCCACCTTAGTTTATCAACAAAATGACAGTCAAATACTTGTTTACAAACAAAAGTTGCATAAGCAATAGTAATGAAATTCCAAATTATTGTGTTATATAATGTAAATCTGTGTTGGCATCTTGCCAATACAAGTCCCCCACAAAATCACATCCTTTTTCCACCGAATTTCCTTAATAGAATATAGGCTAGTATCAAATATTATATTACAGTTGGTCTTTTTCCAGTTAGGGTCATAAAGTGCGATTTATTTAGTGCACACTTTTGAGTTGTAGTTATGAGCTTCCCTCGTCATCTAAAATTATTATACTATTATGTATCGGTTAGTGTTATGTGAAATCATCCTACATGAGACAAATTTTAAATGTGTAAATTTTTTTTTTTGACAAAATTGTAATACTTTTATAATATGGGTCAACAAGTAATAGTTTTTAGTAAAAATATAATGCTTTGTTGACCCAAAAAATAAAAATTAGATTTTATACGAAAAGTATTACATATTTTAAATTTATCTCATGCAATAAGATGGTCTCCCACACAAACCTATGTGATTATGAAAAAGGTAATAATGCAGCATATACAATTTATATATATATATATATATATATATATATATATATATATATATATATATATATATATATATATATATATATAGGAAGAGTTCAGGTGCGGGTATAGCTTCCCGTGCGATTGTGCGGTTAGATTTGAGCCGTTGATCAAATTTAGATCAACGGCTCAAATCAATGAAAATTAAAAAAAAAAAAAAAAAAAAAAAAAAAAAAAAAAAAAAAAAGACGCCCGCGTGTCTGGAAGAAAGAAGTGTAAGCTAAAAATGGCGCACCTTAAGGGATAGAAACACGCACCTTAAGTGTTAGATCTTAAACACAAACTCACGCACATTAAGTACAACACTCACACACATTAAGCACAACATCACGCACATTAAGCACAAAACACACGCACTTTAAATATTAACTCACAGACTTTAAGTTTCAACAACTACTGACATTAAGCACAAATTCACGCACATTAAACACAACATCACGCACATTAAGCACAAACCACATGCACTTTAAGTATTAACTCACAGACCTTAAGTTTCAACTACTGACATTAATCACTAACCTCACACACATTAAGCACAAACTCTACGCACATTAAGCACAAACTCCACTCACATTAAGAACAAATCTCACGCACCTTAAGCACAAAAGTCCACACTTTAAGTTTTAACAACTATTCACGTTAAGCACACAACCCCACGCACATTAAGCACAAACCTCACGCACCTTACGCACAAACCTCACGCATCTTATATACAAAACTCATGCACATTAATCACAGATCCGCTCACCTTAATTTTGACCTAGATGCAAAAATTACAAAATTACCACCGCATTTTTTTAAAAAATTTTGACAATCCTGGACGTTGATTTAAGCGAGATGAATGGCCCAGATTAAACCGCACAACCGCACCTGGGCACCCTAACCGCACCATATATATATATATATATATATATATATATATATATATATATATATATATATATATATATATATATATATATATATATATATATATATATGATCATATAAGAACATGTACTTAGGTGAGAACGTGAGAACACATCATGTGCATCCATCTAATATTTTTTAATGGTCTAGATTAGATTAAGTGTGTGCAAAAGCGCATTAAATGTGTGCAAACACACTAAATCGCGTTTGCACACATTTAATGCGCTTTCGCACTTCGCACACACTTAATCTTATCTAGACCATTAAAAAATATTAGATGGATGCACATGATGTTTGGTCTCATGTTCTCACCTAAGCACATGTTCTCACTGGAACTCTACCATATATATATATATATATATATATATATATATATATATATATATATATATATATATAATAGTATTGAAATCACTTGTTAATTTCCACTCCCTAATATGGAATCTCAAGAGTCAAATTCTACATCGCATCATCGGATCGTGACACCGACTGCTACGCAAATATAAAGAAATACAGTTGCACATTCGTTGCTAATTAGTAATTACGGAGTACAACTTTTGACATAGTGCTAACGGTAAGTACTTGATCCTATAATTGGTATAGACTCAGGTCACAAGATTGCTATCTAATAAGCTAATATGGAGAACGTACCATATGACCATATCTTGAGGGTATTAATTCTCTCCTCGATCTGTTCAGATTCTGATGCGCCGAGTCTCATCATCTCCTTTCAAGTTCACAACATTGAAAGGCTTTTACAACTATAATATAGTATACAAATTGACAATTGACCACTGCATATATATATATATATATATATATATATATATATATATATATATATATATATATATATATATATATATGTATGTATTAAATTTTTTTTAAAAAAAAAAAAAACATATAATAGAGACATGCATATATATCAGATCACCAATCACAATATGTTGATATATAGATGGATGGATGGGAGATAAACACAAAAGCACAAGATTATTGATCATATCTATCAGATCGTCCAAGTGGTGTCTTTAATGGAAGATCAGAGGAATTAGTGCATGCCCCATTGAACTAATTTGCGCACTAAAAGTGATGATGGATGGGTGAGTTTTTTGGTCCACCAATCATAGGATTGCAACATGGTTTTTGACTTCCACTGCTTTACTAATCTCCCAAACATTGCACAAAACTATATATATATATATATGCGAGTTCAGGTGCGGCAGTGTCTTACGGTGCGGCGATTTCTTACGGTGCGGCAACACTAATAGTTCAACAAATATGCACCACGTTAGGAAAATACACCACAAAAAGCAGAGTAAACAGAGCCCTGCATCACCTAACACACACCATTAGGTGTGAGTAAAAACACATACACTGTTCAGAAATACACCATTGGGGGTGGTGAGTTATATGGTGTATTTTTTTTGAATCTGTTGTGTATTTTGTGATGTTTTATTACATTTCATTGTGGTGTGTTTTTGTTACACTGTTGGTGCATATTGTTAACACTGTTGGTGTATTCTGAAATTCCGCATCACGGCAAGACCCCGCCGCATTTGAACTTTATTCTATATATATATATATATATATATATATATATATATATATATATATATATATAAACCTTTACTCCATCTCATCTTTCAACGAACTTTTCCGTACCAGCTCAATTAGTCCAAGCATTTCTGAGCTGGATGGTGCCTTCATTTTTGTGTGGTAGATGAATCCTCCACATACATGAAACTTGTTTCGCTGGCAGGTGCAATATGTGAGTTTGAATCTTACCGTGAGGAGTCGTATCAATTTGTTTCGTTAAACATTAATGTACAAGCATTTTGAAAAGTTTGAGGTCATTGAATTGTAGATAGAATAAATACCTAAAATGGTCCCTCGACTATAGCTAAATTCACAGATTGGTCTTCGACTATTGATTTCAACCAATTAAGTCTTTAACTTTTCAATTTTGACCTAATTTCGTCCTCCATTGAAATGGCCGTCCACTTACTGTGATATCCGAGGACAAAGAGGTAAATTCATAAATACTTACTGCGACGAGCTTTCCGGCGTCTAGAATAGCCTCAAGAAGGCGGCAGCGACGTCGGCGCAGGCCAAGGACATCGAGAGCTCCGTTAGAGAAAAAAGGCTCATCGATCTCTACCAAAAGCTTCAATGACAGAAACAACAAATCAAATATCCCAACGCCGGAAAGCTCGTCACGATCGTGTTCGAAATCAACAATTCCACCCTCCCTTACCCATCCACGCTCCCTGGAGCCTCTCTGCTTTCGCGACGGTCCACCCGTCGAAAAATCCCCCACCACCACCCTTCATCTCAGGCCCGCTAGTCCAAGAACCCGACTGCCCGCCGCCGAATAAATTCTTCCAGTCGAATTCCGACATGCTAAAGCCTCCGGCGAGCACACTAGGCGCGGCGACGCTGGCTCTTGCTCTACACTACGCCAATCTTATAATCGTCATGGAAAAGATGATCCGATCGCCCCAACTCGTCGAAGTTGACGCCAGGGACGATTTATAGACAATGTTACCCAATAGTATCCGGTCGTCGCTCCTGACGAGGCTAAAAGGGGTGGAATTCTCAGCAACCGATTCGGCGCTGGCCGGATAGTGGCGAGAGGCGCTGCAGAAGATATTGGGATGGCTATCGCCATTGGCACACAACATGATCAAATGGCAGAGCGAGAGGATCTTCGAGCACCAAAACCTGTTTCCCAAGACCAACGTTCTCTTGCTCCAAACCTTATTTTTTGCCAACCAGGAGAAAACCGAAGCCGCCATTACCGAGCTTCTGGTTGGCCTCAATTACATCTGTGAATTTACCTCTCTGTCCTCGAATATCACAGTAAGTAGATGGCCATTTCTACGGAGGACGAAATTGGGTCAAAATTGAAAAGTTGAGGACTTAATTGGTTGAAATCAATAGTCCAGGAGCAATTTGTAAATTTAGCTATAATCGATGGACTATTTTGGATATTTACTCTTGTAGATATTCACAGTGAGTAACAAGTGAAACTTTCGAATTTGAAGTGGAGCCTTTTTGACCTGACTCAAGGGATCATAGGCATGCAAATTGAGGTGAGGTCATATATATATATATATATATATATATATATATATATATATATATATGACTAAAAATGTGATTGAAGGTGTCCCTTTCAATTCTGCCATGGCCAAAAAGGGAAGATATGAAAAATTTTCAAAATTGGATCACACATGGATCTTCACAGGAAATAATTAAGTTAGTTATGTGTGTATATATAGGCCCTGATAGGTAAAATAGTTAGCTTATAGATTAATTTTGACTTATTTGATCACTATTATTAACTGTTTGACTTGGTTAAAAAATCAATATAAATGTTTGGTTAATTAGCTTTTTGTAACTCTAAAATGCTAAAATTCAAAAACTGCTCAAAAAAAAATTTTCAATTAGCTTTTTGAGAAAAGAAATCATATCAAACAGCTATTAGCTAACAGTTAAGTGATCAAACACATTTCTACAATCAGTTAATGTTATCAACTAGTTATACACTCTAATTAACTCAATCAACTAACAACCTACCAAACAGGGCCATAGTCTTTTTACTCTTCTCTTTCGGGATACATAAAAAAGACAATAGGCCTTCCCTGTTAAGCATTAATATTTTTTATACTGGGTAACTATGTTTCTAGAGTTCATGTATTAGTTTTAATTGCCATTGAAATTAAAATTTTGGAAAAATTTGATATCAAAAATTTGATAAATGATTTTATATATAAATTAAATATGTATAATGAATGTCACTTTTATGTTAAATTTTGAATTATATTTTTATTTGTTGAATATTTTATGCATTATATTTTGACAAAATTTTTAAAAATAAATATTACATTTTTAATTTATATTTGCATTTATATAATAATTTGTTTTTTTTTTTTTTAAAAAAAAAAACTCAAATTAAACTATTAAACATTACCCCTATTCATGAAAAAAAAAAAATGTTTGGACAACCCCACTCGGTTAGGAGTTGGCTTGGCCTTCTCGATTGAATTATAGACAACTTAGGATGATTTTTATTTTTTATGATTTTTTGTTGGTTAAGATCATGCACAAAGTGACTTTCACTTAAAATGCATTTTTAAATAATATGTGGCGGCATCGTTTTTTTTTTTTTTTTTTTTTTTTTTTTTTTTTATAACTCACAAAGAAAATGGAGGCTGAGTGGATGTTAAGTATGATATGATGGGGCATATAGGAAGGGCCAGGACAGCTTCATTAATCATTACAAAAAATGAGGTTTGTGATTAGCAGAGGAATCTGTGTTTTGGATAGGAAGGCATTTAGTGAATTGAAGATCAAAACATGATCACATGCTGGATATGTACTATTCAGCCTTGCATAGGGGACCAACATCTCATCTATATATATATATATATATATATATATATATATATATATATATATATATATATATATATATATATATTCCCACTCAATAATCTTTCCATTTTTATTAAAGTTTTTTGGTTGTTAGGTATGAGGATTCTAACATGCCGGAATATAATGCAATGAAGTTTGAATTGAACAAGAATCTTGAATATTTTTATATTATATACTCCGTATAATATATGTCTAAAAAATTTATAAGATGTAAATCAATACTTTTGTCATGCTATATGATATATAAGCACACAAGTGTACGTAGTAAATTATATTGGATACTGTTAACATTGATACTAACCATACATATCCAATGCTACACCTTTGTGATTGTATCACATATAAAATATGACATTAGTGTTATTTGAAATAGTAGAAATATTCTCTATTTTTAATCAAAGTTAATTAGAATATAAGATAAAATGGTTAGGTATCATGGTTATTAGATATTTAAAAAAATATATTGACATTTAAAAATAGTGAAGCAAAATTATTATTCTATCTCTATCATTATCATACTTGTACTATTTGACATCATATAAATTCTCTTATAATTATATATTGTGTTTGTCTATTATGTGTTTTAATTTTTTTTTTTTTCAAAACTATTATGTTAGATATCCGCTGGTGAAAAACAAATAATAATCCAATTAAAATAAGATTATTATTTTTTCTGGAAAAAGAAGGGAAGGAAGGATGGAGAATTTGGCTAGTGTTTGGTGTTGGGTTTTTAGCAAGAGTTAAGCAATCACTATTTCCTTAAAACATTATTTGCCACCTCCCAAAAGTGGCCTAGGCTTCCCTACTTTCGTAACTGAATTAGGAAAATTATTATTCTTTTTTTTTTTGGTAAGAAGGAAAATTATTATTCTATCTCTATCATTATCATACTTGTACTATTTGACATCATATAAATTCTCTTATAATTATATATTGTGTTTGTCTATTATGTGTTTTAATTTTTTTTTTTTTCAAAACTATTATGTTAGATATCCGCTGGTGAAAAACAAATAATAATCCAATTAAAATAAGATTATTATTTTTTCTGGAAAAAGAAGGGAAGGAAGGATGGAGAATTTGGCTAGTGTTTGGTGTTGGGTTTTTAGCAAGAGTTAAGCGATCACTATTTCCTTAAAACATTATTTGCCACCTCCCAAAAGTGGCATAGGCTTCCCTACTTTCGTAATAGAATTAGGAAACTCTCACTTATTCGTGCCATGCCGACGCACACGAGCTCAATCTCATTTCTAGTTGGAATTTGATTTGCACCCCCCCCCCCCTCCCCCCGCGCACGCGCATGTGAGAGCCTCTATGCTATACAATTCTACAAGCTCAAAAAGAGCTCTTGTATAAAAAGGGGGGGCAAATCCTCTTTTCAAACCAATGTGGGACAAAAGTTCACTTTTTCCCTTCATTTTTCAAACTTAGTGGGTCTACTTTGAGAATCAATATCTCATTCACCCATTATCCGTTTTGAGCATACAATATATCAATCTCTTCGTCTCACTCGAAGAATCCGAATCCACTTTGACCCGACCCAAATCGGAAATAGATCCCACTGATAATTGTACCACAACATAGCCACTTAACAACCATTTTATGCCATTTTAAGCTTTTTTTTTTCAACATATTATATGTTCTTTTATCCCATGATTGTCTTCATATGGATTCCAACCCCAAAGTGATGTTTTAACTTTTAACTTTTTAATTTAGAAGTTCATGATCTATCTCATTCTCACAATAAAAATCATAGCATTTATTTATTTATTTACGAAAAATTACATTTTTAGTCCTTCAATTGTTTCCAGATATGCATTGTAGTCGCTTGTTGTCAATTTTGTCAAATTAGTCCCTCAAATGTTTCAATTGTAGTCAATGTAGCCCTATGGTCAAATTTGTCACTAACTAGTGTTAAAATCATGGACAATTTGATAATTTCACAAATTACTAAGTTTTACCTCAATTTTCTCCTTCCTCCTGCATTAGCTTTTTCAGATCTGTCACTCACACCAGAATCCATGGTAACCGCAGCGCCAGAAAAAATCATCGCCAGAAGTGATAAGCATAGAAAACCCAGTCGAGCCACCAACCAAGCAATCTTCACCAGAAAAACCCAGTCAAGCCACCACCTTTGCTTGTGTTTCCGGAACTAAAATTTAGAGAGAACTGTCGCATTTGACTCTGAAATTGCGAAGTATTCAGCTGGGGTATGTCAAGTTGGTTCATTGAACCAGGTTGTTGTTTAGGAAGGACTGGAAATGATGATTTCCCAAAAGATGATTGAAGTCTCTGGATCATATCAGTATTAACTTCCTCAGCATTACCACCATTTTTACTCCAAAATTCCAACATCAAATTGGGGGTAAAGCGGGGAAAGGTGGATGCTTTGCTGATATTTTGTTTCTTTTTGTACTTTTTTGTGATCTTTATCTGATTAATTTGTATTTGGTGGTTTCTCCGTAGTTCTACTTTCAGATGTTTCAGTTGAGATATGGAATTTGAGGTAGCTAAAGTTGGCAGTTTCCATTTTTGGGTTTTATGTTGTTCGTGATTTTCACCCTTGATTCTGTGGTGATTGTGCTTATCATGTATATGTGTTGTTGATTCTATACCAGTAATTTCACTAATTTGTTTGGTAAATGCGGATTCAGTAGTTCTGGACTCTTGTTGGAGTTTAGCCAATGCGGGGGATGGAGAAAATTGAGGGTAAAATTTAGTGGGGTGTAAAATTATCAAATTGTCCATGGTTTTAACATTAGTTAGTGATAAATTTGGTTGCAGGATTATATTGGCTACAATTAAAACATTTGAGGGATCAATTTGACAAAATTAACAACGAGGGACTGCATTATATATTTGGAAACAATTGAGGGACAAAAAGTGTGATTTTTCCTTTATTTATTTATTTATTTATTTATTGAGGAGTAGCCCCATCTCAAGTGTCCCACTCTTAAGTCGGGGCCTTTCCAATAAAAATTGGGGTCCTGTGCAATAACTTAATTTGAGGTCTTTTTTTTTAAAAAAAAAAAAAGTAATTTCTATATATAAATAATAGTTGTTCAAAAAGTTGTATCAAAATATAAATATTATATAAAAATATATCTAAAATTTTATTTAAAAAGCGACATGCGCGTGCACATTTAGACGCAAAATCATCCACCAAACTTTTGATATCAACTTCTTCCAAAAGCTCATTTTCAATGGACATTAAACTATTCTATTGAGTCTCTCTTACAACGTAACATACTTGACCGTAAGTAAAATTTAAACAATTTCAACTTTGAAAAACTTCTTTCTGCAGAGGCAATAGTAGCATTTGGAAAACAATCAATCTGTTTTAATGAATTCGATATACTCATTGCCCCTATCTTTTGTTTCGATAAAATCTCTATAAGCAATTTTAGCTCAATATACAATTTATTTTTGTGAGTAATAATGTTTATTATTATTATTATTATCTGTAAACAGGAATTAGTCTCCAACTGTTATCCTGATGTATAGGAGTAGTTAGAGTTCTAATCCTCGTTGTAATCCTGTCTCAACAGTTTGAATCAATCATTCGTAATCTCATCTGGTATCAGCAGACTGGGTTACTCTCTCTCCCCAAAATGTCGACGAATTCAAGCTAGCGTACCGTTACTGCCGCTGTCACCTCCAATTCGCCGGCAACCCCCACCTCCCTATCATCGGCACACCACTTTGTGTCGTTAAAACTAACCACAAGAAACTTTCTATTTTGGAGAACACAAATGATCCCCTTCCTCCGTGGCCAAGGTTTACTTGGTTATGTGGATGGCGAGCTGCCTTGTCCTCCGGTCGTCCTCCCTTCAACTACCGCCGGCGATGAAGCCTCCGACGCCACGGTCTCCACCACCATCCCCAATCCGGCGTACGCGTTCTGGATCCAGCAAGATCAAGCGATCTTGTCGCTCCTCGTCTCTTCCCTTGCAGACGAGGTGATGTACCTGGCGGTGGGGCGCAACACGTCGCGTGAAGTGTGGCTCTCTGTCACAGCGGCACTAGGATCATCCACAAGAGCGCGGTGCCTGAATCTCATCGCTCAGTTTCAGAGCTTACGCCAAGGTGACAGTACGCCGGCCGAATACCTCGGGAGGGCACAGTTGATCGTCGAAGATCTAGCCCTGGCCGGTCGTTCGATGTCCTTACATCATTCGTAATCTCATCATTTTTATCAATATCATCACACTGCTCATTGAGATTTGGGAATTGAATTAAAAAATACAAATAATGGTAATTGCTAATTAGCAGAAGGTCCCGATCGAAGATGCTAATTGTTATTTGAGATTTTGAATTGAAAATTGTCATTCTTGATTAACAATGGTACTTGTCAATCGAGATTTAGGAATTCGGATCGGAACCGCCAAAAGTAGGGAAGGGAATCAAGAGATTAGAAAACACACACACACACACACATATATGTACTCTTTTTTTTTTTTTTTTGGTTTTTAAAATAATTTCCAATTAAGCTCAATTTCACCCTATCACAAATTGGCTCAATCTTTTTGCACTTAACCTGAAATCATGTATACTATACATACATATAATTTTTTTTAAATATGGGGCCCCCAAAAATTGAGGGCCCTGTGTGGTCACACATGTTAGAGCATCCTTATCACTTGGGGATATTAGGGGGAGAATGTAAGAGTGAGTAGGAAAGATAATAATATGGGAGGGGAGGAAAAATAAAAATCAAAACTGATTTTATAATATATATATATATATATATATATATATATATATATATATATATATATATATATATATATATATATATGGTAGGGAATATCCCGACCGACATAGCTCCACCACGACCGAGGAGCCTTTGTCTCTTTCTCCTTGTCTTTGCAGGTAACAGGTCGGGCTCCACGAGAAGAACCCGGTCGTAGATCGACCGGGAGTTGCCCGAGCGACGGTGTCGACCACCGAGCGATAGCCCTTTGGCGAAAGAGCTGACGAAGGACACGTGGCGGCTCTCTACATCGACAGGCAGGGCACCCGGGAGGATGACACGTGGTAGCTACGTGGAGGGCATGCCGAACGGCTGGAATCTTGTCCCCGGCATAGTGGCTATAAATACCCACAGTAGCTACAGTGGAAGGGACTTTTGGACGATCGTTAGGTTGTTGTTAGAGAATCCCGACCGCAGTCAGTCGGTACTCAGAGCAACCAAGTAGATTGTACTTAGGGCCTTTACCGTGATCAATAAAGATATTTACTTGCTTTAATTGGTCTCGTATTGTTATATATTGCTTACGTGTAATTAGCAGTATCATTTTGGCGCCGTCTGTGGGGAACCGTGCAAGAAACCAACGTCTTGACGAGCACCCGATCACCATATCGACATGTATCCGTGGGCACACAACAACTTTGCTGACGACCAGGCGGATGCGGCGAGCTCCTCCGACCACTATGCTACCCAACAACAGGGTCAGACGATGGACCTCAACCTCAACCTCTCGCCACCGCATCCGTCAAATACATACCCGGCCGCCCAGCAGCCGGTGAATTACATACAACCAGGATACCCAACACCCGGTCTGCCATACCAGCAGCAGCCGATGATGTATCCCGCCCAGTATCCGTACCCGGTCCCACCTCCACCGTATGGGTACTGGCCAGGCCAACCAATGTGCTACACTTCCCCGATCGGTTATCCACCGTATACGCCAGCTTATACAGCTCCAGCCGCCGCCCCTCCAGTACAACCGGCCGCCCAAGTAGAGCCGCAGCGTCAGTCCGTGTCCCGGGCTCGACGCTCGGCTCATTCGCGGTTGGGGTCGGGGGGTGCTGATGCGATGGAGGCACCAGCTCAGGCCGTTCAAGCGGAGGACCCTGAAGAAGTTGCCCGAGCGGTAGCTTTTGACCGTCTTCGACCGGAGATGCGCCAACGTTTGGGACCCCAAGACCCGGACCGCGGCACGAAGACATACAAATGCAGGAAGCTAGCCACGAGGCTTCATCCGGGTATAGCGGGTCGAGATCTCACCGGCGGCGACGCGCTCGGGATACAGCCCAAGCCGCTCAAGCCGCCGAGCTCAACGAAACCCGGGGACTACTCTATAACCTCCAGGCGGAAGTTGCGCAGCTCAGGAACGCGTACCCTGGAACACCCCCGGTCAACCAATCAACCTTGCACCAGACGCCTTTCACAGCAGCGGTAATGGCCCAGCCTTACCCGCTCGACTTAAAGGTCTCTGGAGAGAAGAGTTATGACGGACGGGCAGATCCTGAGGCCCACGTGAATGATTTTTTCAGCAACATGATGCTGAAGGGCGTTTCGGACGCCGTGATGTGCAGAGCCTTTTACTCGACCCTCACCGGTCGGGCAGTAGAGTGGTTCCGTACCCTGCCACCGGGGTCGATCGATAAATTTGAGACCCTGGCGATCAAATTTGTGAGGAAGTTCATCACTTCCAAAGTGGTGAGGAAGTCCTACATGTATCTCGAGAAGGCCAAGCAGCTGGAAGGGGAGAGCTTGACCGATTTCCTCATCAAATGGAAAGCGGCGGTCGGGGAGGTCGAGCCTATGGACGATGCGACCGCCACCCACATGCTTCACATATCTCTCCGGGCGGGACATTTGTACCAGGACTTCATCCTACACCCCCCGACCACTTACGAGGAGGCCCTTCGGAGGGTCACAGACTATGCCAACGCCGGCGAGGCGAATGCCGTCAAGCGCTTGCAGGAGGTCGGCTCTTCGTCCCGTAAACCGGCCGGCCGGGCGGAACATAGGTCGGGAGATGACAACCCCCGATCCCGCACCAGGCCTGGAGAATTTACGGCCTTGAACCGATCCGCGACGGAGGCCATGCAATACGCCCAGTCCTGTAATCTCATCAAACTCCCCCATCCCGATCGAGACGGCCCTGACAAGAGTAAGCACTGTGCTTACCATCGATGCGCTGGGCATGACACGGAGGAGTGTACCCACTTGCGTCAATTGTTGGAAGATCTGCTTAACAGGGGAAAATTGGACAAGTGTGTGGGGAAGAGAGAGGAAAACAAAAGGAACACCGATCGGAGGGATCATAGACGTTCCCATCACCGCTCTGATCGATCTGGGCAAGACAAAAGGGATGATCGTCATGACGACCGACGGGACCCCGACCCTCCGTCCGGCAGCCGCCCGTCCGGAAAGCCTACCATCCACGTCATTTTCGGTGGGCTGGAAGATGCTTCCCGACCGCGGGCTAATTGCCCGGTCGCAATAGTAGATTCCCACGGAACCGGGAAGAGGCAGAAGATGGAACCCATAACCTTCACCCTTGAGGACCAACCTACCAGCAGCGATCACGGCATGGAGGCGCTCGTGGTCACGATTGACGTTAAGGGGACAGACGTCCAGAGGGTTATGGTCGACACGGGCAGCAGTGTGAATGTCCTATACTTGGACGTGTTTGAAAAGCTTGGCCTCGACAGGAAGGAGCTGACTCCGGTCGGTGTACCACTGTCAGGGTTTACCGGGGCTCTTATCTACCCCGAGGGAAAAATAACGCTCCCGGTCGAGATCGGCACGCCTCCAAAGTCGATCCAAACGGAGCTGGAATTTGTTGTGGTCAACCTCCATTGCGTCCACAACATTATCTTGGGCCGACCCGCCATTATGAAGATCGGTGGGATAATTTCTATGCCCCACCTGTGCATGAAATTCCCCACCCCCAGCGGGGTCGGCGTGGTCCGTGGCGATGTCCAGTCCGCCCGGAAGTGTTACACCCGAGCGGTCAATAGACGTGACTCCGGTCCATCTTCCCGGGTGAACACCATAGCCAAAGAGGAGGCTAAGGAACGGAAGGAGCAGCCTGAACCTTCCGAAGAAATTGAAGAAGTTCCCCTGTCCGAGGACCGCCCGGACAGGAAGATAAAGATTGGACGAGCCCTCACCCCCGAGATTCGAGCGGAAGTTCTGACCGTGCTCCGGGAGTATGCTGATATCTTTGCATGGGGGCCTGAAGACATGCCCGGGATCGATCGGTCGGTCATCTGTCACAAATTGGCCGTCGATCCGGTAGCTAGGCCGGTCGTCCAAAAAACCCGGCACCTTTCCTCCGATCGCCGCGAGTTTGTAAGAGAAGAAGTCAAAAAGATGGCGGCGATCGAACACATCCGTCCGGTAGTCTACCCCGAGTGGGTGGCAAATATCGTTTTAGTTCCTAAGCCCCCAGCCTGGAGGATGTGTATCGACTTCACGGACCTCAACAAAGCCTGTCCGCTCGACCCGTATCCTCTACCGAGCATTCATCAGATGGTCGACGAGACGGCTGGGGCCGAGTTAATGAGCTTCATGGATGCCTTCAAGGGGTACCATCAGATCATGATGCACCATGAAGACGAAAGTAAGACAGCCTTCGTGACCCCGGATGGGCTGTATTGTTACCGAGTGATGCCGTTCGGCCTCCGGAATGCAGGAGCGACCTACCAAAGGATGGTCAACATGCTCTTTGCTGATCTACTGGGCCGAACGATGGAAGCTTACATCGACGATATGTTGGTCAAGAGTCGGGACCGATCCGACCACACTCGGGACCTTCGGGAGTGCTTCCAGATCATGAGGAAGTACCAGTTGCGGCTGAACCCGACCAAGTGCACATTCGCGGTTCAGACCGGCAAGTTCCTCGGCTATATGATGACCAAGAGAGGAATCGAGCCTAACCCGGCCAAAGTAAGA